CTGGCATATTTCCTTTTTCTTATATAATGAAAGAACTGGAAACTGTGTTATAAAAGTAGATATACCAAACAAATTTATCCTTTCCTCTTTTCTGTCATGGTCAGAGTGCTGATCTTTATTTTTCAGAAGACCAATAGTAACTTATGTATATAATTGCAAACGTAGCAAAGACGCCACTGCCTAGAATACACTACTGTAGCTGTTAGCCTTTTCAGTTAATCATTTTAAATATGATTATTCGTTTGTTTTGTGCTTAATATATAAGCCAAACTCATATTTATTTTTTCTCACCGTCTGCACCAAATGTAAAATTAGAACATTTCAGCTACAGTAATCGCTACTCCTTCATGGTCGGTCTCAGCTTCTTCGCTTTTAAGACAGCTTCAACGAAAAGGTTGGTCTCGGCATAGTTGATTTTACCCGGAATTTTTCGTTTGCTCTTTTTGGAGGGGTCGTTCGGTTTTGCTTAAAACAACCCCGTGGACCACAAAAGGGGGTTAAAAAGGGAGGGGGCCAAATGAGTCAATTCTCTGGAAGCTCAGGGAAATCCAGACATCTAGAAACGTATTTGGTTTTAACTAAAAGAAAAAAAAGACGTATACACCCTGAGATGTTGGACACGCTGTGACTTCAGCTGCTGAGCACGGCGCAAACCCATGACCTCCGGGTGCTGGACGTTGGGGGAAGGGAGAGGACTCTTTGGGCACCACGCGGTCAGCCGAAGGGGCGGGCTCCAACGTACAGCCAGAACTATTTTCTACTCTTCATTAGTTACCTCCCCCTTTCCTCCTTGGGGGTTGGGGCTGGGGGCTCACAGTTAAAGGGCTGGAAAAATGAAGACACGAAGAGGGAAACCCAACCTCACCAATGAGAGGGAGCAAAGGGTTATTTTCGCGCCACAAAGGATGGAAATCCAGGGGTGGCTCAGAGGCCAATGAATGGAAACCAGCAAACGGCTTTGGCGGAGGCAGCCGACGGTGATAGGCTCTCTCCGTCCACCAATCGGGTGAGAGAAGAAACTCCCCGCCCCCTCCCCAGCCAGGGGCTGTCTCTCCACGCGGGTTGCTCAATTTGGTCTCGGCTGGTCCGCCCAGCGCAGTGCGAAACCCCGCCCCGGGACCGCGTTTGCGCGCCCTGGAAGCCCGGCTCGCCGCGCCGCGCCGCGCCGCCCCGCCCCGCCCGAGCGGCGGCGCAGGGTTCAGCAAGGGCTTGGTGCGGTCTTTCTTCGTGGGTACCATGCACCCCGCACTCTCGTAACAGGCCGGAAGTTCGGGAGGGTCACCAATCGTACGCGGTCTGGTTCACCCTCGCTGTCCGCGGGCGGGCACAGGAGGACATCAGGTGGGGTCGTGCTGCGAGGGGAACAACCGAGGCTCCCCACCCCACCCGGGTCCCCACGTCTAACCCGTCCACGCTGCTCCGCGCGGAGGGGACAGAACCCAAAACGAAGCCAGAAGGCGCCTGTCCCGCTGCAGGGCCAGGGCGGTGCAGTGGTTGAGGGCCTCCGAGGCTAGCCGGCGGCGGACGAAGGATCTTCCCCAGCGTGAGCTGCAAGGATCCCGCCCTTTCTCCGTGCTGCACCGGGGAAAAGGAAACAACCGCATCTTCTCATCTCACGGGGCACCATTTTTTATTTTAAACAAAAATAACAAGGCAGATTCCGGAGAGGGCAGAGCTAGGTTACTATTTATCATGCATCTGGTTTCAACAGATCAGAGTCCAGGAGAGCTGGTCGAAGGGGCAAGAGCATGCTAAAAAAAATACCTCCTAGGAGGCCCAGGCGACGCGGCGGGCATTGAGAGCCCACCCTCGTTAAGCACTTTGGCTTTCGGCTGGGCTCTGAGGCAGCGGGAGTTAGGGGTAGCAACAAGAATGCCCTTTTCTCCTCCTCTACCTGCTCAGCCATCGCCCTTTACTTGTGGACACAGCAACGGTAACCGACCTTCTAAACATAGTTTTTCTCCTTTAATATTACATTGACCAATAAGAAACATTTTTATTGCACTCAGGTCAGCAGATGAGGAGGTGCAGCTGTCCAAAGAGTAAACAGGCTGCAGTTGGAAAGACTCAGCCGCATCAGAGCACATACGATGGGTGGGAGTCCTTCGTGGAACTATTAAATAGGAGCTACAACAGCTTCAGGAAGAATTTGGAGTAGCCCATATACATGGTTAATTTTTTTGTGTGAGACTCATCAAAAGACTGGAAGTCAGTTTGACTTTATATTCATTTTTGAAAATCCTTAAGATATTTTTGCACTTGAAATGTCAATAAAAAACAATTACCCATTCTTTTTTTACTCAGCCTTTAAGTATATACTTATCCCTCAGTGGTTGGAAGATTCGAAGTGAAGTGGACTGTATCCACCTCCCTTTTTGATGTCTGAGCTTAAATAACTCGTGTATGTTTTTAAGGTCCTATATGGGTATCCAGTTTGTTACAATAATACACAGATTAAGTTCACAAGAGCCCCAGGAACATATTTCATCAAAACAGCACACACTGTTTTAAATTCCAGCTGTTAGATTTGTTTGATAGTGACAGACAAGTATGGGCTAGTATTCATGGAAAATAAACAATTTATCCCATGCTTTGGAAGTAGATATTTCCTTAGGTCTGAGTTTTAATAAGAGCAAATACAGTCAGAAATCCAGAAGGCACCATTTAATTGACTTGCACCATTCAATTGGAAACAAGCAGAACATAAAACATTTGTACTTGATGAGAAATTACTAAGTTAAATGATCAACAGGCTAGTTTATAATATTTAAGGAGGTATTTAGAAAAGCAAACATTACTAAATGAAGAGCATATTGTTTTTTCAAATAGCTTTTGATCACATGCAACAGGTTTATGAAAAATTCACAACTTTTGGATATTTACATTTTTAATACCACAGAAGTCATAAAGGAAGGATAACTTTTTTCTGTTTAAAAATATGAAAAGGAAAAATAAGTAAGCTTATTTAAAAAGTTAACCTACTGTCTTTTTTGGGGAAAAAAGTTAAACCTAGCTGTAAACATAAAATTTCAACCACCAAATTGTTTTTTAAAGATAGAACACATAACACAGTTCTAAATTATTATATAAAAACACATTTGTCCCTTCTATCTCAAAGTAAAAATATTTTACTAAGTTAAATGTGAATGAAAATATTGTGAAAGTTCGTTTACATTTAAAAATCTGAATTTGCTTGGCAGGAAAAAAAAACCTTAGAAAGAATAGTTGCATTTAAAATGGATGATCTGACACATTCCGTTTCCTTAAAATTATTAAATAAGTTTCTTTTAAAAGAAAAAAATGTAATTTTCATTATGCAGTGATCTCCACATACTTAAAAAATAAAATCCTTTTAAATGCCATATACAGTTTAACAAGGGAAACTAACTATATCAACGTCATAATTACTTGGAGATGTTTCAGTGTAAATCACAATATTTTCTCTATTACACAATACATTTTCCTACGAGTCAGTGTACCAGATCATTCAAGAGGTTTGTATATATTTCCATGCTATACAAATTTCATTCACTTGTTTAAAATAAGCATTTTATATCTTTTCCACGGAATACCTGTTATAAATACACAAGTATCTGGTGCAAATGAAGCCTGGGAATGGAGTACACAATCATCAAAACCACACTTGGAGATTTCCATCGGAACCCCAGCACTGCGTTCATTTCCGTATTCCTTGTCTCCAGTCCACATTTTGTTGGTCCAGGAAGGCTCCACCGGGCCCAGACCCTCCCCCAACACCCACCATTGTACTCATTACACACAAGGCAAATTCTGAATGGTTCTCATGACCGAATGCGGGCAGAAAAGAAGCAGAAAGAGACGAACAATTTTCGAGTGCGAATACCACCGAGGGGTAACGCAGAGCAGTCTTCCTGTTTTTAAGAGTCCCAAGTTCTCCAACTAAAATTATTTAAATGAAAGTACCAGCCTACCCCAGTCCTCCTCTGGAAACTACAGGAAGAAAAGGTTTCCGTTTAAATACCGACTTCTCCCACTCCGCCTTCCCCGCTCGGGCCCCGGAGGCCGTGGGACACCCCCATTCCTACCCCAGAAACCTCCGCCCCTGCGCTCCCCTCCCCCACCGGCGGCCAAGCCCGCCCCCGGCCTCATTTATCCCGGAGCCTTTTCTGAATAGCGCAACCAATGGCAAACGCGAAGCCGAGAGCCACCGCGAGCGCAGGCGGAGGAGGTGTCGCCCAGACACCCGCCCAGGACGCCGCGAGCTCCCATCCCCCACCGTCCAGGCTAGGGGCCGCCCCACTTCCCCGGTGCCCGGGCCGGTGAAGGGTGCAGGGGTGGGGCGCGTCTGCCCGCCTCTCCCGCCCCTACCCAGCCTACTCCCTCGCTGCGTTTCCGCCCCTGCTAGCGCTGGAAATGTGCTCGCGGCTTAGCCGAGGTTACACTTCTAATGTCATCCAAGCCACAAGGCGAGTTCGGGATTGTGACTCTTTGGTTTTGTTAATTACCTATTTTAAGATATCGAATATTTAAAACTCTGGTAAGTAGAGCTGAGGAATTGCCTAGTTAGTACCCCCACTCCATCTCATTAAGGAAAAAAATCACTCTTCCTCCCCTCCCCCTCAGGATCCGCCCGGACCAGATAACCCTTTCTAAACTCTGTGGCGATAAAATCAGCCCCGGCAGCCGCGCTCCCCTCTGCGCTCCGGCTGCGGCTCCTTTAGCATTTTTCCCTTTTTCTCCACCCCTTCTCAGCGTCCCTCCCCCAATCTCCTTGCCCCTCCCCCTCTTCCTCCTCGCTCTCGCTCTCCCCCCCCCACCCGAAACCCACTCTAATTGAGGCGCTGGGATTCCTCACGTGAGACGTTGATTTGTAGTTTGAACACGTGGCTCATTCAAAAAGCCGGACACTCGGAGCGGATCTTTTCCGCCTCCTGAGCCTTCCTCCCTCCACCCGGTCTCCCCTCCCTCCTGCCAGTCACCCTTGTGGGTTTTTTATGGGGAGGCGGTGCCTGCCCTCACGTAGTGTGATATTTTCACTGTCCGCTGGCCGATGCCAAAGGGGTTGGGGAGGAAGAGACAAAAAGTAGTTTCCCCCCCTCCTTCTTCCCCTCTCCTCTTTTCTCTCGCTAATCCCGCCTCCTCCTCCGAGTTAGGAAGACTCGTTGATGCGTTTAGGTTGTAGGAAGGCTTTTTCGTTTTTTGTTTTTTTTAATACCCAGAAGAGGAAAAACAGCCCTCGGATCTGATTTTTCTCTCCTCGTTCTTGTCCTTGGTTCTTATACTGTGTTTGTGTATTTTAACGGCGAGAAGACGAGGGGAACAAAACCCGCCGGATCAAGCCATCACTGTGGGTGGTTTTAATTTTTCGTTTTTCTCATAATTTTTTTTTAAAACAACCACTCTTCACAATGAACAAACTGTATATCGGAAACCTCAGCGAGAACGCCGTGCCCTCGGACCTGGAAAGTATCTTCAAGGACGCCAAGATCCCGGTGTCTGGACCCTTCCTGGTGAAGACTGGCTACGCGTTCGTGGACTGTCCGGACGAGAGCTGGGCCCTCAAGGCCATCGAGGCGCTTTCAGGTGGGCCCCGGCCTGGCCCCGCCGGGCGCCTGCCCTGGCCCTGCGCCTCCCCCGCCCCGGCCTGCCGGGGTCGGGGGCCCGGAGCCAGGCCTGCGGCTGCCGCCAGCTGATCCACTAGGGCTCCAGGCCCGGGCGAGGGCAGGGAGAGGGGCCGAGGCCCGGGCGAGGGCGGGGAGCGGGGTCGAGGCCCGCGAGCCCACACGCGTGGGGTCCCGGGTGCTTCCTCAGCTTGGACTCCGACCCGGGCCCCCGCCGCTCTCCTTCCCGCGCCGGGTCTTTGCGGGCTCAGGGCGGACGCGCTGTCAGGAAAGCCCGGGCGCGGGCTCCGAAGGAGAGCGGGGGCCGGGGCCGGGGGAGGGGCGCCTGCCCGCGCGGGACTCACAGCGCTCGCCCCGCGCCCAGCCGGGGCCCAGGCGCGTGCTCCAGGCTCCCGCACGCGGGGCCTCGGGGCCGAGCGCGAACGCCGGCTCCTCTCGCCTGGCTTCCTTCTTCCTCTTCTCTTTACTTATGGCGTTGGACCCGCTGACCCCGCTCCCGCCCCAGACCCCGGCGTGGAGGCACGAAGAGTGGCCTCGACCCCGGGGCGGCTCGCACCGCAGCCGGGCGCTGCCTCTCGACCCTGGGGAGGCGGACGAGTGCGACCTGGGTTCCAGGTCCCACGTCCCCCGCGACCCACGAGCCAGAGGGGCAGGTGGGCGGGGGCGGCCGGCGGTCGCCCAGGAGGGACTTGCGGCTCTCGGTGCCCGGCCTCGGGCTGCGGCCACCGGTGGCGGGCGCGCTCGGCGCGGCGGGGGACGCCTGGAGGAAAGGCTGTGATCCGGTCCCTCCGGGAGCCCGTGCCCCTCGGTGTGGCGGGCGCCGCGCTGCCCTCCGCGCGTGGTCTATTCGGTGCGGAGATGCACCGCGGAATTTTCTTTCTGCGCCCACCCTGCTGTCCTCGAGCCTTTCCCGCCACTCCCTGTTCCCCGCGGGCCTGGGCTTGAACCCGGGAGAAAGGCCAGGGTGCCCCCTCCCCCGAGTTTGTCTCACGCGAGTGTCGGGAGAAGTGGGCGGAGGGGCCGTGGTGGCCCAGCGAGTGTCGTGGGGTTGGGTGACCCCCCTCAAGAGGGCGGGAGAGGCGGGGGGGGGGCGAAGAATGTGACTCAAGTAGTGGGTCCGCCAGTTGACTCCCCTCCCCACCCATCTGTAAATTACCCAGCTTCCTCCCCCGCGCGGTGCCTTGCTTCTCTCTCGGCCTGACCGAGTCCGGGTGCCCTTTGGGGTCTCAGGAAGCCACTGTGTCGCCGCGTAGGCGGCGCGGGTCCTAAACCTGCCAACTGTCTTCCACCTCTTGTGTGCCCGCAGGTAAAGTAGAACTGCACGGGAAACTCCTAGAAGTTGAGCACTCGGTCCCCAAAAGGCAAAGGTGAGTTAGTTTATTATGTTCTCGTCGATTCTGTTCTCACCCGGTTATTGGGAGGAAAGACTGTCAACACAGCTGAAAACAACTTTTCCTCGTAATGTTTATTGGGCTGCTAGCTGTACGGCTTGGCGTCGTCTTTTTCATTTGCATTTAAGTGTACGGCAGGTGTGTGTTCCTGGGGAATGCTGCGAAGAATAGAGGGCTTGTCGGTGGGTCCCTGACACTCAGTGTTAGCGGTATAGAAGTCTCTAAGGAAATCTCTCACAGCTAAATATTCCCGAGCAGAGTAGGTCAAGTTGCTACACCCGGAAATCAGCCTCTGAGGTCAGTTTTTGAGACTCTGTAGGACTTAGGAAGCAATGGGCGACTTCCCCTCCCTACTTGTAAGTACAGGATAGGGGAAAGCAGCTGCAGACACTCGTGGGTGTGGCATGCCTTTCCTTCTCTGTCCGGAGCTGTGGGCCACCAGTCCGAGAGGCCTGGGAGGCTGGCTGCAAGTCTGAGAGGAGAAAAATTTCCTTTACCCTGTTAGCTGGCCAGCTGGGATTGGAAACACGTGTGTGAACGCCTGGCCTTTCAGTCACTCCAGAGGTACACAGGTTTCTGCAAACCCGCCTTTGTCTCCTGCTTCTCTCTCCCCCACGCTTTAAAAACATATTTTTGCTTACAAATAACCACCAAGAGATCACGAAGACTCAAGATTTGGGCTACTGCAGCAAGGGGATTGCATTTTTTTTGGAGAGCGTGTGTTGTGTGTCACTTTATAGAATGTTTGGAGGTTGTTTTTACCTATGGGGTATTCTGGAGAAATGGCTCATTTCTCAAGATCAGGCCAATATCAGTGCTCTGTAACTCTAACTGAAAAGGTGCTGCTTTCTCCCAGCGGTGCTGGGGCTGGCCTACGTGTGCCTTTCTGGGTTTTGCAAGGTGGGGTTAGGGTTTCTGTGCTTGCCCCTCCTATCTCCCCACTCCCAACACCCGGCCAACCAATAACCTGAAAGTTAATTTAAACTAGGACTGTTTGCGTCTGGTTAGGTATTGGTGATAATGTGGGTGCTGTGTGTTTCCCTGTTGCTGTGCAGAGAGAGATGGCCACATAAAATGTTACTGTTTGCCTGTTTCTAGATTGAGTTCTCTAACAGGTAAAGCATTTTCACAAATTGTGTTTTTGTTAGCAAATTGGTTTGGATTTTTGTGGATTTCTCTTGTTCATATACTTAATTTTCATTAGGATAGTTGGAAAGAGATTTGTGTGACTGGATAGAGTTAGGTGTAATTGGGAATTTCCATAGAGGGGTCAAATAATTTCATATAGTAGAATGGAATTCTTCTAAAATTTTTACTAAAATAATTGAATGTGTACCAAAAGGTTGATCTCAGTTTAATAGGAATTGAAAAAATTGAGGATGAAGCCTTATCTCCTTAAAAAGAAGTTTAAAGGCATAGTCTTAATTGTTTACCTGGAGGGGGATGTAAGCACATTCTGCAAATTCTAATTGGTTTTATGTTTAGCCAGTGTGTCTTAATTTTCTTCAAATATTGAATAAAAAGTAAGCAAATGGTTGTGTTGAAGGACTGACATTTTAGCATTTGAGAGTTTCTAAATTTAAACATTAAATGTCTTGTGCATCTCAGATATAATTCATTAACCTGCATGCAAATGCAGATTACTTTGTCTTAACTCTCCTGATTTTCCTTTCCAACCTGGTGTTAATTTCTCCCCATGTGTAGGGAATTAAATTTAAAACATCTGGTAAGAACTGCCTCTTTTCTTCTTAAAGGCTTTGCTTAACCAAAAAACATAACTTAGTTACTTGTTACTTTATACCAAGTAGGTTCCTCTTTAGGAAAGCACATAAGGTAAAATGTGGCAACAAGTATTGACCAATGGAAGCTTCTTCATTTTATTAACAATGTAGATTAAATTAAAATGCTCAGGATTTTAAATGATACTATCTTACTAGCAAAATAAATAGGAATACACTGGAGACAACTTTTTACTGATTTAGAGACTAATCAAGGAATTCCTTTACTTGTATCCAAATGGCTAAAAACAAAAGTAGAGCTTTCTCTTCTGGAATTTTCTTAGAGAAATTTTCTGGAAATCCAAATTACAATTTTGTTTTAACTGAACCTTGGTGCTGTGATGTAGTTTCCCTTATCTGAATACTTCTGCTGAAAGGGCTTTGGGAGAGTGCAGAGAAGGAACCCTGGTGATCCTAAGCCCAGCACCTATAGGAAGGTCAAAAGGAGGTACTGGTGACAGTGAGTTGAATCCCATAGACCAGTCCTTGCCAAGAGAGCCTGCTGGACTTCTGGGTGGAGTTCTTTGTGCATAGCACTCATTGCATTCCATCCCATCATCATGTAGGCATCCCAGGCAGGCACACCCACATATGCAGCAGTGACCTTTATACCTGCTGTGCAAGGCATGTTGGGAGCCCTGCGCTGAAGAATGCTTATGGCAGCACTCTGAGATGGATGAATGGGCTTGCAGCAACTAAACAGAGGAGCAGGCCTAGGATGTGATTTGATGCTTGGCAGCCTGGCCCAACTCTGACTGGGAGCAGAGCTGGGCGGGGACCCTTTCAGGAAGGGGTATTGTTGAATTTGGTTCAGACCAAGCTTAGCTCCTGATTACCAAAGTCTCAAGGGAATGTGGAAGGAATGCTGCTTTTCTGCATTCAGATACCCCTTCATTGGGGAAGATTACAGCAGCACTTCACAGAGCTTGAGGCCCCCTGCATCCAGAATGAAGAGAGGATTGGTGATAGTGTTGCACTTTCTGTTCCAAATATAAAAGATACAGCACACAAAGAGTTGGCTGGCTCTGAGGTATAACCTTAATCCCCCCCCCCCCCGCCCCAGTCTTGGGGGTAAAGTTTAAGTTAAGGGTGGGTGTGAAAGTTGTGACTTTGGAAGACTGTATTGAGTTTGGTTGGAAAGAGCCATTGGTATCTTTGTGGGACCTTGTATGTGCCACTATGTGATTATATAAATAGCACTGATTTTTGTTGTTATATTGTGGGCTTTTGGGCATGGGAGAGAGACCAGGAAAGTCCCTGACACTGGAGAACTGAGAAGATGGTGGTTTTACTTCATTTTCCATTACTTTTTTTTTTTTTATCCTCACCCGAGGACATTTTTGCATGCATCTTCAGATAGAGTGGGAGGGGAAGAGGGGGGAAGAGAGAGAGAAAAACATCGATGTGAGAGAGACATGTTGACTGGTTGCCACCCACACATCCCCAAACTGCAACCGAGGCATGTGCCCTTAGCAGGAACTGAACCCGGGACTCTCTGGTCTGCGGGCCGACACTCTAACCACTGAGAAACCAGGGCCCATTACTTTTTAAAATTATGAATTAAAAAATACATATTTTCAGTCTTTTAAAGCTTAAACTTCCTCATGGTTTAGTTGTTAGAACATATTGATTAGGATATGTATGTAGCCAAATAAATATTTGAATAAAGGAGAAAAATAGTAAGATATTATAGTTATTATTTTTTTTCCAGGAAGAATTTGTTAAAACAGACTGGTGCCTAAGCTCAAATGTCTTTTTTGTTTTGTTTCTTAAAAAAAAAAATTAAATGAACTTATTTTTTTTTATTAGAATCTTGTGCTTTTAACATGTAAATTAGATAGACAGAACATGTATAAAAATTACTAGGGTTTTAAGTATATCTTACTTTATTAGCCATTTAAAAGCTAGTGCTTTATTTTAATAGCTGTTCAGTATAGAAGAGGTTGGTGTAGTGACCAGCCTTGTACCTATTCACCAGTGCATATGACCCTGTTGTCTCAGGCCAACAAAAGCTGTTTTTAATGCTGACCATTTAAATATAGGTATGGATAGCTGTGCTACTCCTTGCTTACCAGAGTGGTACAGGTGAATCTTGTGAATTAGAGAGATTTCTCACACATGCAGAGACGTGAACGTCTGAATGTTATGAAACTTCTGTGGCTGGTAAAGAATCGTAAGCAGGGGTATCTTTGGAGTGCTCAGTTTAAGGTCAGTAATGCATGATTGCTTACGTAGTTGTAGCCAGTGAGATTTTTCTTGATACACTGTTTTCTCAATACAGTTTGAAACAGTTTAAAAGATTTCTTACTTTGGCCTTATTAGAATTCAAACAAAAAATAATGTTAAGTGCTGTGTGTGGCTGTCCACTGTAACAAGGAAGATGTTAGGGAGACATTGTATGTGCCTGGAGCCAGTGGGAATTGAGAATCTTGGCTTGTGTTTCTCACTTTCCTTTTGACTTGTGTGATCACTTACATTATCTGTTCCTGCTGAATGCTGCTATAATAAACTGACAAGGGGCATGGCTTGTTCTGATTTGCCATTCTACTTGAAATAATTAGCTAAGGCTTAAAAAATATCTTTTGGAATTACTAGAGATCTGAAGTTGACCCTGTAAGAAACTTGACTTGTGTTTCTTTTCTGTAGTATGGTAGCTCAGTTGGTTTTGCACGTGTACCTCTTTCAGGCAGTCAGCAAGAAGGAAATGTTCTTTGCCATACTTTGAAATTCTTTTACGAGCTACACCATTGCAGTTATTTTATGGGTCTGGAATTTTGTATGAAAGAGAAGCTGTTGAACCATTTTGATATATATTGAAAGCAACTTCATTGTAATTGTCTTTAGTAGCATTAAGACAGCAACTTTTCCAGCAGTAACATTTCTAAAAGTATGAATTATCCATTCAGTAACTGGTGGTTGGTTTGGTCTGGGAGGAAGGAGAGAGGTTGTGCTGTTCTTAGCTGAGTTTCCTTCATCTATCTATTTTTGCCTCTGATTCAAGCTTCTGGAGTCATAAGACAGGAGGTGGCAGTGTGGTAGCAGTGACCAAGGGGTAGGATTGGCATTTTTAGTTAGGATCTCTGCCCTGTAAATCTGATGTTTAAAAATTGGCTTGGACTGTCAAGGTTTTGCTTGAAAGCTGGTGGCAAACATGGTTTTTCAGTGCTCTATTAAAATTGAGGGTATAATTTCTCATGG